TACGTGTAGCCACCCGATCATAAACCCACCCACCGCTCGATCACAGCCGCTCAATGGCGGAAGTGCCGCTTGGCGGGTGCTTGTGTTGAGGGTGGGGTCGTTTGAGATGCGTCGGCCAATCAGTGTTGCCAACGCATCAATCAGTTGTCATGCTAGAACAATTTTTGAACCAACTGAGCGAACGCAACCTAAACCCTGCAAAGTACAGTGATGTCGCGAACGAACAATGTTGCACATACGAGCTAAATAACATTTAAAACTACAACAAATACAATCAACAAAAAATTGGTTGCTAATGTAATAGTCTGGGGTGTGAAGAATGAAACAGGAATGAATGAACTAGGAAAGTGTGAGATACAAATATGAAAGCTGTACCCCTTAGTGTCTACCCCACTACAACCTACATAGGCTAAGGCATATATATCTGACACACCCCCATAGGCAAAGTGGGGGAGAACTAGGGGTCAAAAGACCAGTCAAGCAAAGCAAAGCAAAGCAAAGCAAGCTCAGGGTGGATCACAACGTCACCACACAGTCTGAGCACAGGTTCAAAGGCCATAAGGCCAGTTCACATGCAAGTTCATATATAAAGGTAAACAAGCAAGTGCAGGTATATAGAGATCACAGTACAAGCAAACTCAAGAGGTAAGCAAGTGAGGCCAAGTAGGCACAAGACCGAGCATAGTACAGAAGCGCTGATGATCACAAGGCTGAAGTGCCTTGGTAAAGATATCAGCAGTGTTGGCCTGAGAGGCCACGTAAGCAAGGCGCAGCTGACCACGCTGCTGCAGCTCACGAGCAAGGAAGTAGCGAAGAGCAATGTGCTTCGTTCTGTGCTCCAGTCTGTGCTCCCGACACAAGGCCAGCATAGCCTTGTTGTCTACGTACAGAACTGGAGGAGAACGAGGCGGCTCTCCCAGGTCAGTCAGCAAGTAGGTGAGCCAGCGTAACTCCTGTGCAGCCATGGCCCCTGCGTAGATCTCAGCCTCACAGCTGGAGCTGAGAACAGAAGACGAGCGAGTAGACCATCACGAAACAGAGCCGGAACCAAGGCTGAAGGTGTAACCCTGTGACGACCGCTGCGTAGCCAGGTCGCCAACCCAAGACGCGTCTGCGTGACCAGTGAGGACCACTGGACTCCGCCCTCCAAGCACTAGCCCCAAGCCTGAAGTACTGCACAAGTAGCGCAACACCCTCTTCGCTGCAGCCATGTGCTCTGGTCGGTGTCTCCCAGGAGCAACATAGCGTGCCAGAATGCTCAGAGGGTATGCTAGGTCAGGTCGAGTGCAGGTCATCAGGTACATGAGGCAGCCAACAAGCTCTGGGTACGGGCCACTCGGCTCTACGGACTCATCCGAAGGCAGAGCTGAGAGCGAGTGGCGAGTAGACAGAGGAGTGGCCTGCGGCGAGGAGTACGTGAAGTCGAAGCGCTGAAGGGCCTGCTGCACCATGTGTGACTGAGTCAAGGTAATGGTGCGCCGTGCTCTGTCCCGGGTGATCTGCAAGCCAAGATAGCTGCGCAGTCGTTTAACCCACCTGGCGACCAGTTACCTTGGTGGTGTTTGACCGTGTGTCCGTTGCCGCCTTGTCGTGCATTGCAGGAACACTTTCGATAGACCAAAGTCGTGGGGGGGATCTTCCTATATTCGGATGTGACGCACATGAGCAACAACGGCCGGAAGAAGGCGTGGCCGCTCATGATGACGCTTGCCAACATCTCCCAGGCCAAACGATGGGGGAAAGCCGGCCACACGCTACTTGCCCTCCTTCCTTTCCCCCTTTCTGCAATGTCTGCCGTGGAGAAGGTGATGCTCTTCCACCGTGCTGCAGCCGCTTCTCGATGGCATGCAAAGGTCCGTACCCGGTGTTGCATCTTGCTATGTCGTCACCCAATCACCTGCATAGTATGCAGGGCGTCACGATATGTAGCAGTCCCCTCTGCCCCTCTTCGTACATGCACAAATAATGTCCTCCCAATTCCTGATGCCACTCTACCTGTTCCTTGCAGCGGGTTCCGTCTTAGGGACCCTTTCGGTGATTGGCAAACCGTGCGGCCCCTGCTGTACGCCTGGATGTGCGACTACCCCGAGAGCGGCAAGATCAGTTGCACACTCTTGCATGGATCGCGGATGCCGTGCAGCATCTGCTATGCTGCAAAGGTGAGCTTTCATGCCAAAGACATTGTCGTTTGAATGTCGCCTTATACAACCCATTAACTCACCACCCTTACCTTTGTATCCCATCCCACACCCCCGTGCAATAACAGGAGCATCAAGTTGCTGTCAAGGCACGGAACACGCCGCGCAGACCTGAACAGCAACAATGGATCGTTAACGAGGCGGCTGGGATGACAACTAACCAGGACAACCCTGCAAGACCCACTCGACCTACCCTGTTGAGGTAAGCGACATGTTGCCCGGGCTACTGTGCAGTCTATGCACTCCTAAACCTCGAGGAATGGTCAGATGTGCTGTGCCCCATTCAAATCACCAGGCATTTTGTTTACGTTGGCTGCCCAGGTCTCACAAGTACAGATCTCCTCCATTCCCCACCACATCCCCGGTTTCCAGTGTGTGCTCTGGAAGTGGGATGTCCCAGGGACCGCGTGGGGCAATCCCTACCTCGTTGTCATGCCTGACATCATGCACCAGGAGGACCTGGGCATCATGAGCCACATTGTGGCTGTCGTGCGCAAGATGAAGAAGCGGCGCGTCAAGCAGATGGACAGGTCAGTGTTTTGGGGGATTGGATTCGTTGCTCTTGGTCACAAAAAACTCAAAGCAAAACTACCGTGCTCTTACTGACAAGTTTCTGGATTTGTGCCACCGTTAAACTGATGTGTATGGACAGGCGCCTATCACTCATTCGCGACCGCACGTGACTGAATCACATGCGCATGCCAGAGAGCGCCTACTTCGAGACCGGAGCATGTGTCGCGGCCTATGAGCACAGGGCCGTCATGCAGGTATGAAAGCCTTGATTGTTATCATCTTGATTGCTGCCTGCCCCCTCCTCCATTCCCTGTTGCTTGTCCCCACCGCCCCTCAACCAGTCTGCTCATGCTGCCACTCTTTGTCCCTACTCCTCACACCATCTGTGCTAACCCTCCCCTTTGCTGCTATCCCCGAATTCTGCAGGTCATTGTGTTTGTTTTTGCCGGCCTGCTTCGCCAGCCCCAGATGGATGCAGTTCGTGCCTATCTTGGATGGTACCTCCTGTGCTCCCAGCCACAGGGGCACACTGAGCGGTCCCTCCGCGAGCTGAAGAAGATGACGTCCCGGTACTAATACCATGCATGTAAACCCCTGTGCATGGGATGAATGCTTGGCTACTGTAAATGTGCTCTTGTAGTAGGCAATCTGGTGAGGATGTTGCTGCTAAACTTTTATAGGAAAGGATCTGGAATAGGAAAGCCATATGAATAAGTAGACTCTGATGTATTTGCATGTGTTGTCATTCCCCACTCCCATCAGGCTGGTTGAGCAGTTGCAGGCTGCCTTTCCAAAGCAGCCATCCTCTTGGTGCCTTGTGAAAACCCATCTCATGTCGCATTACGTCGACTCCATTCGTCGAGCGGGTCATGTGACCGAATTCAGCACCAACATGTTTGAGCACTTGCACGGACCGTTGGTAAAGAGGATCTACCGTCGGTCCAACAAGCGCAATGTAGATGGGCAGATCATGAATTTCCATGCTTGGCGCATTCCGGATGTGTTGCCGGTGGACGATCTTGCTGGCCGGGACACAGCCATGCGGCAGGTAAACATGTTTAGTACTTGAATTGCATGGATATGAATGCAGAATGTAATAAAATCCTTATCATATGTTGGCAGGCAATTGAGACCGACACACTGACTCTTATTAAGGAGGCATACTTCCTCCCCGTGGAGTTACCAGAAGAACCCACCTCCACCAACTGGTTTGCAAGGAAGTGGGCCAAGCAACACCCTGGTGCCCAAGCTGCCCTCAAGGATGCGTTAATACGTTATGCCGGATGCGTCACCAAGATTCGAGTAAGTACTTGAATGTTTGTGCAATCAACCATCATTTGACTGGCCAGTATCAGTGATGACCACCACCAATTGTTATGCAGGCCCATGCATCGCTGGCAATCCCTGCGGCAGATGACGCCAGCTTCTCAAGAGTTTCTCACTTTGTTCGAGCGACTCCTGACTATTTTGAGAGGCCATGGTACTCGGATGTTGCAGTGGAGGGTGTAAGGTATGGTCGGAGAGAGGAGTGGTATGCAAGGTTGCTTCTGTTGTTCCATACAAAAATACGTGGAGAGAGGGAGGAGCTGGCGTACATTAGATATTGGAATGCAAGCGGAGAGGATGCTGCAACAGGATGCCTTCGCCTCAAGTGGACAACAGGAATGTATGCGTACTCCGTGATTCCGATTGAAGCGCTGCTCCGCCACGTCCATGTGGTGAAGGCATTCCATCTGGACAGTATCTATCTCCTTAATAAGTATCAAATGTGATGCATGTATCTTGTAATAAAATGGCCAGCATATTTTCCAGCAGTCACATTCTACAAAAGTCAAAGCTAAGAAAACCAATTACAAAATTACAACCAATTTGTCACGCTCCAAATAAACGACAATGCACCGGAGTCGCGAATTCGATTTCGACTCCGACAAACAAACGCGTTCTGATTTCATCCCGTGATTGATCGCGTTTTTGTTTCGGAACTTCGCCAACCAAAACACCTGAACTGTACCCCCCTTCGAACCCCTTCAAAAACCAAGGTTTTTTTTTATGTCAAGGTTTTATATCAGATTTCACATTCGAACATCCCCCCGTAGCTGCATGCAAGTTTAGCTAGTGAGGGGCAGTCACCCATAGAGGTGAAGTCACCAAGCAGCAGCTGGAACCATCGTGGTTGAACCCCCACGACAGATGCCCGGCTGCTAGAATTTAGGGTACTCGGTGTGTGCATAGGGGAGTGAACATGCCCAAATACGACGGAGCTAAAGGAGCGCGGCCACTTGATTTACGATGGTCTCGAAAGAAAACAGAGAAGGAGGAGGAGAGGGAGACTATATGTAGCGAAAGGAAGAGGAGGAGGGGCGGCTACCTTAAATACCCGCCACCCCCACACCCTCTCCTCCTCCCCCCCCCAACGTGGCACGCATAATGGTTGCAGGTGCAGCGATGAGGAGGAGGTAAATGGAGGGGTGGCGGGGGGGTTCAAGGAGGCTTCAGCACCCCCATCGCTGCGGCCTCTAGCCCGCCACCTCCCCCTCACATCGACCGCTGTGGCATGGCGCAGTAGAAACCGCGGCGTCGGGGAGCGGGGTGGCGTTGGCGGGGGCGCTGGAGACGGTGCCGGTGTTGGCGCTGTTGGCAGTGAACAGCAAGCTGGTCGTTGCTGATGTCGTGGCTAGCGCTGCTGAAAGCGACGACGCGAGATGGGGTGAAGTACTTGTACCTTACTGCTGATGGGGTGCCCCCTCGCCCCCTGCAGATTCCTCCGCCACTACACCCTCCCCTTCCTCACCGCTCCCTTCCCGCCATTTCAGCCGCAGCAGCAGCTGCGCCCTCCTTCCCCCCCTCCTCTCCCTCTCCCCCTCCCCCCCCCCCCTCCGTCGTCGCAGCAGCAGCACGCAGTGGAGTTCTGCAGCAGCGGAAGCAGCCGGAGGAGTCCAGCATTAGCAGCAGCCGGAGGAGTCCAGCATTAGCAGCATCTGGAGGAGTGCAACAGCCTCAGCAGCCGCACCCTCCCCTTGGCCGCTGCGGGTCCACCCGCCGTCACCTCCCCCTTGACCGCCGCGGGTCCACCCACCGTCGTCTCCCCCTTGGCCGTCGCGGGTCCACCCGCCGCCGCCCCTCATGGCTGCGAACCCTCCTGCCCCTCTCCCCCCTCCCATCGACGCCTCCTCGGTCGACAAGATGCAAGTCACTGCAGATCGCTCAGCCATCAACTAGCACTCGTTTGTCGGCAGCATTTGCCGCGTCCTCCAGGACGCCTTCATCGGACCCTACTGCGTCCTTGACGTCCTCCTTTGCCGTCCGCACGCTCTCCAGCCGACAGCACCCAATCACCCTGGCGAACCTCCTCCTCTCCCTCCCCCTCCTGGCTCCCCTCCTCCCGAGCCTAACCTGGACGAGGCCGCTACCACTGAGCTTCAAGCTGCTGCCGATGCCACCTTCCTCCACAACCGCCGCGAATACCTCATCAGGAAAGCCGCCCATGAGGTTGCTGTGCACAACTACGAGTTCGCGACGTCGGACCGTGCCACTCGCCTGGCACTGCTTGCAGATTACAACACCTCCATGGCGCTTCACATCCCCAACAGCATCGCCTGGGCCGCTGCCGACAACCGCGCCTGCACCATCCTCCTTGGTGCACTCCCCGACGCCCTCATGCGCCGCTTCCAAGCTCGTGAAATGCGAGCCCACCTGATTTGGGCCGAGCTCCGGTCCATGTTCGAACGCTGCGACATCAGCTCCATCGGCGTTCTCTTCCGGGAGTATTTCTCCATTACCCTCGCCACCTGCGACGCCGCAGTCGATTACGTGGGGCGCATGCAGGAGGTAGCCGATCGCCTTGCCGCTCGCCAGGCTGCCCTGCCCAAGCCCCTGCAGATTCATCGTCTGCTCTTCGACCTCACGCGGAATTCCGAGTCCCGTCTGCACGCCTTCACTGAGGCAAACTCCTTGGTTGGCCTCACCGAGGTGGTTCAGTGGATCATTGACACGGAGGTCAAGCTCCGCACCCCCATTGTCAACCTCACCACCCCTCATTCCTCCTACACCTCCCTCAATGCCACGCAGCCACGCAACCAGGGTGGTAGCAACGGCGGCGGAGGGGGTCGTGGAAGGGGCGGGGGTGGTGGTGGTGGTCGGGGTGGTGGTGGTGGCAGTCGTGGTGGCCGTGGTGGTGGTGGTGGTGTCGCCCTGGGACTCTCCCCCCCCTGCACGTACTTTCCCATCGTGGTCCCCACGGCGGCATGCCGTGTGGTCAGACCAACCACCCTATTGCCACATGCTTCAAGGCGCTCGATGACGCCTGGTTTGATTGCGGCAACACTGGTACCCCTCCTCGCTGGAACAGTGTTACCCCTCGCCCCTCCCTTGTGGACATCCAGACCCTCCCCTCCTTCCTCCCCGCTAACCTCCGCCTGCTCACCCCCTCCCCCCCTTCCCAGATGCAGCATTTTCAGCAGCAACAGCAGCAGCAGCAGTACTTCCCGCAGCAACAGCAGCCACAGTTTCTCCAGCCACAGCAGCCGCAGTTTCTTCAGCCGCAGCAGCCACCGCAGCAGCAGTTCTTCTAGCAGCAGCAGCCGCCGCAGTACCTTCAGCCACAGTGGCAGCAGCAGCCGATGACCTTCGGCACAGCGGCCATGGCCGCTCATGCCTCCCCTTGCTCCCCACCCCTGGGGTTCAATCCCCTCTGCCCCCCCCAGTGTCCCTGACTCTCAGGGCAGTTTCCTTGGTCATGTTGCAGTTGCACCATCCGTCGCTTCGATGTTTCCCTCTACTATCAATGAGACGTTTTTCTAGTACCCCGTGTCACTTCCCCCTCCTTCCTCCCCCACCCTGGACTTTGTCCTTGACAGTGGGGCCACAGAAATTGCATTCAAAGACGCTGGCAACCTCACCCCCCTTCCACTTCCCACCCAGGTTGATGGTGCTGACTCCAGCCTTTCCATCCCATGCACTCACCTCTCCACCCTCCAGCCTTTCCATCCCATCCGGTAAGGTCACAGGTCTCCACATCCCTACCCTTCGCAACAACCTCCTCTCTCACCGAGAGCTCCAATGTGTTGGTATTACCGCCATTTACCCTGGTTTTGCTACCTACTGTGATCTCTACCATACAGCCTCTGGTCGCTTCCTCTGCGCATTCCGCTTTGCCCTCGCACTCGCCTTTACACGCTCCGCACACCCCGTCCCTCTTTCTGTCATGTTACTACTCGTGCTGGTACTTCCACCGGTCCCCCTCCCCCTCTCCCTCCCCCTCAGGTATCCTCCTCCCCTACTTCATCCCCCTCCTCCTCCCTCCCCACCTCTTCCCCCACCCCATCCCCCTCCTCCTCTACTGCCCTCTCCCACCCAGCAGTACTATTGCATCACAGACTCGGCCATCCCAACTTCGCCGCACTTCGCACCACCGTCACCTCTCGCCTCCTTAACAGCCTTCCTCCCACGTTACCTCCCCTCCCCACCTCCCCTGCTCCCCCATGCCCATCATGCATTCATGGCAAGCTCAAACAGCCCCCCCATCACAGCCATCCCACCTTTGCTTCCGCTCCCATTGACCTTGTTCACATGGATCTCTGGGGTCCCTATCCCATCCGCTCCCGTCAGGGGCATCGGTACATGCTCGTCCTCGTCGACGACCACAGTCGGTACTCCACTGTCTTCTTCCTTCACACCAAGGACCAGGCGCCGGCTGTGGTCATCAACTGGGTTGTGCCGCACTCACTTGAAACGCCCCATTAGTCGCCTTCACTCTGATGGTGGGGGTGAGTTCATTCAACAACAACACCACCGTCACCTCTCGCCTCCTTAACAGCCTTCCTCCCACGTTACCTCCCCTCCCCACCTCCCCTGCTCCCCCATGCCCATCATGCATTCATGGCAAGCTCAAACAGCCCCCCCATCATAGCCATCCCACCTTTGCTTCCGCTCCCATTGACCTTGTTCACATGGATCTCTGGGGTCCCTATCCCATCCGCTCCCGTCAGGGGCATCGGTACATGCTCGTCCTCGTCGACGACCACAGTCGGTACTCCACTGTCTTCTTCCTTCACACCAAGGACCAGGCGCCGGCTGTGGTCATCAACTGGGTTGTGCCGCACTCACTTGAAACGCCCCATTAGTCGCCTTCACTCTGATGGTGGGGGTGAGTTCATTCAACAACAACACCCTCGCCACCTACTGCAAAACACATGGCATTCAGCAGACCTCCGCCCTCCCCCACTCCCCTCAGCAAAATGGCATTGCTGAGAGTCTCATTCGTGAAATCACCAAAATTGCCCGTTGCCTCATTGCTCACGCCTCCACCCCTCCCTCCCTTTGGAGCTATGCCCTCCTTCATGCTGCCATCCTCCTCAATCTCCGCTCCCACCCTCAGCATCCCTCCTCCTCCCCCACAGAACTCTGGTCTAAGGCGAAGCCTGACGCTGCCGGCCTTCGCGTTTGGGGCTGCAAGTCATTCGTCCTCATCCCACCGGTCGATCGCTCCCGCGCCGCTGGTAAGCTCGCCCCTCGTGCCTGGAGTGCGTCTACCTCGAGCACAATCGCGACTCCCCAGGCTACCTGTTCCTCCACCCTCCCACCAACCGCCTCATCCGCAGCATTGACGTCGTCTTCGACGAGTCCATTCCTTACTACTCCACTCCTCCTCTTGACCCTCTCCCTCCTCCCTCTCGCCCCCTTGCCTGGACCGACACTGTCCTCCCACCTCTCCTCCCTCCCGCTCCTCTCCTCCTCCCCGTTGCCGCTCCACTCCCTCCGACCTCCTCTGCCAACGTCTTTGACCCCGCCGCACCCGCCTCCCCAGCCCACTCAGCTGCGCCCCCTCCCCCCTCTCCCTCCTCCTCTCATTCTCCCTCTTCTTTGCAACGGCCTTGCCAGCACCAGCAGCAGCAGCAGCCGGGTCATCATCAGGGACAGCAGCAGCAGCAACCGGTTCCGCAGCAGGGGCAGCAGCAGCAGGGGCAGCAGTATGAGCAGCAGCAGCGGCGGCGGCGGCGGCAGCCGTGTCAGCAGCAGGGGCCGCAACAGCAGCAGCAGCAGCCGGGTCAGCAGCAGCAGCAGCAGGGGCATCAGCAGCAGCCGAATCAGCAGCAGGGGCAGCAGCAGCAGGGGCAGCAGCAGCAGGAGCAGCAGTGGCAGCAGCATCGAGCAACTTCCTGCTCCTCCCCTTTCCTCCTCCCTCGCATGCACACTCGCTCCCTGGACAAAATCATTGGAGCCCCTCCTCCCGCCTCCATTCAGCTCCTTGAGGACTCCCATGAGGAGTTCCTCAACATTCGGCACCACACTCCTTTCCTTGCCTCCCTCTACCTTGACTTCCTTGGCTTTCCCGTCCTTGGCGCCACCTCCACCCCCACCATCTTCACTCCCTCCACCTTCCAAGAGGCCATAACCTGCTCTGATGCAGACAAGTCGATCACGGCAATTTTTCTGGAGTGTGGGGCATTCATTCGTAACGACTCCTTCGTTGATGTCCCCCTCCCAGCCGACGCCAACCTTGTCGAGGGCAAGTGGGTCTTTCGGGTGAAGCAGCTGCCGGGCGAGGAGCCGGTCTACAAGGCCCGCTACTACGCTAAGGGTTTCACCCAGACTTGGGCCGAAGATTACTGGTTCACCTTTGCCCCCACCGCCAAGCCGCCCACCCTTCGCAGCCTCCTCGACATTGGTGTGCGCGACGACATGGAGATCTGCTCCATGGAAGTCTCCAACGCGTTCCTGCAGGGCGACCTGCACAAGCGCATCTTCCTTCGGCGGCCCCCCGGGTTCCACACCGCCTTTCCTGAGAACACTGTGTGGCAGCTGCGTCGACCTGTCTATGGTTTGAAACAGGCGCCAAGGGAGTGGCACGCGAAGCTGTCTGCCACCCTGGGGTCCCTCGGCTTTTTTGCCTCGCATTCTGACGCCAGTCTCTTCCTTTGCTCCTCACCTCGCCGCTTCTTCATTCTGGTATATGTGGATGACATGATCCTGCTTGCTGACTCCAAGGCTGACATGGAGCAAATGAAGCAGCAGCTGCAGCAACACCTCAAGTGCAAGGACCTGGGCAACCTCACGCACTACCTGGGCATGGCTATCACGCGCGAGTGTCCTGCTCGCACCATCACCCTCTCCCAGTCCCATTACATTGGCCAGGACTTGGAGAAGTTCGAGATGGCGCAGGCCAGTCCCATGGCCACCCCCCTCCTTTTTGGCCACCAGCTTGCCCCACCCACTTCTCCCTCCTCCTCCCATCGCCCCCATGCTGAGCTCGTTGGGTCGCTAATGTATGCTATGATGTGCACCCACCCCGACCTTGCCTACCCCATAAGCGTGCTTGCTCGCTTTGTTGGCACTAGTCGCCACACCGAGGTGCACTAGAAAGCTACTAAGAGGGTCCTCCGCTACCTTCGCGGCCCCAATGACCATGCCCTCACTCTTGGTGGCCCCTCCCCTCCCCTGCTTTCGGGCTTCAGAGACTCCTCCTAGGCTGACTTGCAGCCGGACCGCTGCTCCTCTCAGGGCTACGGCTTCACCCTTGGCAGCGGCCTTGTCAGCTGGCGCTCCACGCGCTCCTCTGCTGTTTCCCTCTCCACCTGCGAGGCTGAGCTCTACACTGGCACCATGGCCGCTCAGGAATCCCGCTGGCTCTGCTTTCTTCTTGCTGAGCTTGGCGCCCCTCAGCCCTGCCCCACCCTCTGGTGTGACAATGCCAGCACCATCCTTCTCACTCAGGAACCCGTCTACCACGCCCACTCCAAGCACATCGAGCTGCGCTATTTCCTCATCCGCGAGCTCGTCCAGCGAGGCCTTCTTGCGGTTCGGAAGATTTCTGCCGATGCCAACTTGGCCGACATCTTCAACAAGGCTCTCCTTCGCCCTGCGCACTCTGCTCTACTCCGCCTCATCGGCCTTGCTCGCCCGGGCGCCCCTTGATTCAGGGGTTGTCCCCTTCTTGTCTTAGCATGCTAAGGGTTTGTGTTAGAAATCTATGTATAGCATGCTAAGTGTAAAAGGGGTTGGGGCTACACCCAAATTTGGGTGTAGCTTTCTTTGTAGGCCTACACCCAACTTTGGGGTGTAGACTTGCAAGTTGGGGTGCCAATCCAACCCACAAGTGTTGGAGCCCCCAAGTGCAAGTTGGGTACCCCCTCTTTGCAACCCACAAGTTGGGTGCCCCCCTCCTTGCAACCCACATGGTCCTTGTTGCAAGTTGGGTGCCCCCTCCTTGCAAGTTGCCATAGGGACTTGCCAACCACCCAACTCCCCCCCTTCCCTTCCAAGTTCCTCTTGCATCCAATCTCTCCACTCTATGTATGCTCTCTTTTGACCTAATAAAACTAATCGTTCAGTTTACAACTTTCACAGGATGAACAGTTGAAGAAACGGTACGGCAAGACGAGGGTCCAGGAGAGGAGAAGCACCAAGGATGCTATCCTGAGACGGCATGGTAATGCTGAGAACAGAGGCCAGAGTACCAGTGTCAGAGGTCGAGATGGCAGGCATGGCCGAAGCAGAAGATTGACGTGGATGAGACGGCGGAAGCCAAGCAGGGTGTGGGGGCAGGAGGGAGGTCCAGCAGTAAGTAGGAGTGGTGTTGCAAGGGCAAAAAGGGGGCAGCGGATGCAACGGAGGGCAGGGAGGTGGGGGGTAAGAGAGGAGGTGCAGCACCAAGAGGAAGAGGGCAGCAGCGTAATAGAAGAGAGGGACGGGCAAGAACGGGCGCCATAAGGGG